CATGGCGCCAAAAAATGGCAAGAGTTTATCTTTTATGATAGTTGAGTAGTATTCCACTGTATATGTGTGTGTGTTTATTTATCACATCTTCCAGATACACTCATCTGTATCTGGGCATGTAAAGTTACTCTATTAGTCTTTGACAATAATAAATGCTTTGGGAGAGACCTTTTGAGACTATACAAACATCCTCTTTCTTAAACATTTGCTCTCTACTTATACTCTGGTGTTCTAATGGTGATTTTCTAATTCCCTTAACCTCCCTACATTTATTAGCTGGAATCATCTGTAAGGAAGACATATTCCTTTTCAATATTTATTTGTTTGTCAATAATTTACTTCTGCAGTATGAACTCATGGATATGAATTTTATTCTTTGGGCCATAATAATGTATTTTTTTTAAATTAAATACTTTGCACTTTCACTACTGGAAATTATGGCTTCTGTGTCCTTGTAACATGCCTCTTTATATCTGTCTTTCCTTTGTGTTTTATCTCTGATGCAAAATTCTTTGGGATCATCTTATTTTTCCCTTTCCAGTTCTGGAATCAACCACTTTCCAAGTAGTGTTGGTTCTTTTTTATTGGAAAATGACATTTAAAAGCTAAAAATTAGCAGCAGATGTGAGATCATTAATACCATATTTAATGGTAAGAGATGTTTTCTTCCTAAGATCAGGAACAATGAATGTCAGGATGCTCACACTCATTTCTATTCAACACTGTAGTTGTTAAGTCCTAAATATTGAAAACAATTAGAAAATACTGACAGAATAAAAGATGAGCTAAATAAATGGAGAAATACATAATGCTTACTACCGTTCAAATGTTAATTCTCTTTAATCTCACATAAAATTTCAGCATTTATGTAGAGTTATAGAAATGAGTGTAAGACCTATGTAAAAATTTTTGATAAATTTGTATTATAAAATGCCCTGTCAGGGAATCTTAAAACTTGAAGACACTTCAGGTTATTATTATATATATGAGTGAAACCACTGGTCCTTGTCCACAGAGGAAGGAAGACCCAAATCTAGGATGAAGATTTCTACATTTCAGTACTGTCCTCTTCAAGGTCTCATATCATGATGCTCACAATTAAGATTTGTTCATTTTTTACTTTCCCTAGGTAAAAATCTAGATTTTTCCTGAAGATACCAGTATCTGGATTTATGTGCCTTCATCTCTAGATTTGTCACAATATATAGAAAAATAATCAACAATCAGGTAATAAGAAATCAACAAAATCACAAGTCTCCCTAAATATACCAATAAAACTAATAAACAATAACCTGGTTGAATTAACCTCTTATAAATTACACATTTTAAGTACATAAGGATCCCACAAAAATGTTTGACTTTACAATGTATTTCAAAATTTATACTATCCAAAACACAAGAATTATAACTGGATTCATTAAAACAGCTCCTGGCATCAGCATTTCCAAAATAATTTGCTTGTTAGGAACTGATTAGGGATTGATACAATCCCAAACAGACCGTATCATGTTTTCTTTCACAGCCTTTTAGAAAGAGACTCAAAATTTAAGGATGCTGCCATTCTTCAAGTAAGATCGGACAGCTGAAAATACCTGTGCCTCATCTGAGATTCAGGATAGCCCAAATAAACCTGTTGGAGGTGTCGGACAATGATGAGTTCTATTGCTTATGAGAAGTTTGTTATTTTAGTGATTATGTGACTTTATGCAAGATACTGAACACCTTTGTTCATATTAAGTGGTGTACGTTTTTATCAATGACAACAACTTAAAATTATTTCCCCATATGTTTCATTGAAAGCTATGTTTTGGCAGCTCCATCTCCCTGCCCTATTTGCTGGCTCTTTCACTTCTATTCACAACAAGAAGCTAGCTGCCTGGGAATCTTCCTATTTCAACTCTGGGCATATTTAGACCTATGGAACTGAAACAAATTAGCTTTGATTCTTCATTTGTGTGCTCACTGTAGTCTCAGGAGTTTCCTTCAGGTGATACCTAACAGCCACTTAACGTGAAGAAGCAAACACTGATGCAAAAATTTTTGTGCATATTTTAGTCTCCTAACAGGACTAAAGAAAGTCAATGTTTGCCTCTCTGATGGTCCAAAACGGTCTCCTACAGAAACTTACTCTTTCTTTCCCTCCAATCCCCAATCCATCTTTTTAAAAACTGAGTTCTCTGGGAAACTATTTTTTTAAAGATTTATTTATTTATTAATACAAGCACTGGGTACAGTCGGAAGCGTGGGAGGGTGACATAATTCACCAGAGCCAGAGCGGGGAACAGAACAGGCAGACTGACGAAATACACTGCTGAGGGGAGCAGCAGGCGTGCAGGAGAGGTCTGCACAACATGTGGGACCCTGGCTAGTGGCCAGGGATTGAACCGGTGCTGCAAAGGCTGCGGGCAGCTTCGCAGCCCAGCGCTCAACAGCTGTGCCACCAGGGGAGGCCCCTCTGGGAAACTATTTTAACTATATTCCTTTTCTAGTAAAAACTGCTGACCAGGTATTATTTCTGCGGGACATTAGAAGACTTTGACCTTTTTCAGGTTCTTTAGCAGTGTACTGATATGACAACAGGATGTAGGGTTATATATAGAAGTGACTCATAAGCAATATCATCACTAATAAAGTGTATGTACAATTGTATACATGAAGTTAATAAACATTAAGCGCATTTAAGAATGGTCAGCTTTTCAGAAGGGTTAAAAAGAACCCAGTACTGAGAACATTTTTGCACACAACACCAATGATAAAGGACTGATCACAAAAATCTGTGCAGAGCTGATGAGACTCAACAACAACAAAGAAAATAATCCAGTCAAAAAATGGGCAGAAGAGCTAAAAAGAAACTTCTCTGAAGAAGAAATGCAAATGGCTAACAGGCATATGAAAAAATGTTCAACATCACTTGTAATCAGGGAAATGCAAATCAAAACTACCATGAGAAACCATCTTACACCAGTGAGAATGGTACATATTAAAAAAACTAGCAACAACAAATGTTGGCGAGGATGTGGAGAAAAAGGAACTCTCCTGCACTGTTGGTGGGAGTGCAAACTGGTCCAACCATTATGGAGAGCTGTGTGGAGATTTCTGGACCTACTAAACATAGAGCTTCCATATGATCCAGCAATTCCACTCCTAGGTATTTACCCAAAGGACACAGAAACATCAATTCCAAAGAGCACCTGCACCCCTATGTTTATAGCAGCTCTATTTACAATAGCTAAGCTTTGGAAACAGCCCAAATGCCCAAAAATAGATGACTGGATCAAGAAGATGTGGTACATATATACCATGGAATATTACTCAGCATTCAAAAAAGATAAACACATGCAATTTGCAGCAACATGGATGGCGCTGGAAGGGATTATGCTCAGCGAAATAAGCCAAAAAGAAAAAGAAAAATACCGGATGGTCTCACTCATAGCAGGAATCTAGATAACTTAAATAAGGGACCAGGAAAATGAATAACTGTAAGAAAGTGAAAATCAAAATCAACAAAAAACTATGAACCAGAGACACTTTTCAGGGGGTGGGGGGGTGGGAGGGGAAGGATTGGGGTCAGAATGGGGGGGTTGAAATTGTATGGGGAATATAAAAATAAAATTTATTATTTAAAAAAAAAAAAAAGAACCCAGTACTTACTTCAGTGTTTATACATGGTAGAAACTCTAGGGATGTGAGTTTTAATTAAGTTTGAATAGAGGTGTTTAATAGTGTGCACTATTTTAAGCATCTAGTACTAAGAAATGCTTAGAAAGATACACAATACAGAAATGAAGATTCTTATGACTCATGCCATCCTATCTTTCCTTTTGGGTTTAACAGAAAAGACTACATGGCACACAATATATACCACATAAATGCTGATTTATATGTTTCAAAGAAAAAGATAAAAAACTGGAAAAAGCTAAAAGGACTAAAAAATTAGATATAAATTCTAAGCAAATACCAAATTACATAAAAATTTCACAGTGAAACTTTTGTATGAGCATTTGAAAAACAAAAAAATTAAATCAATGTCTGTACTAACAATACCTGAAGCAATAAAAACAAAATAAACAAAAATTTTAAAGTTGGAAGAGACAATAATTACCTGTTGATAAACTTAAGTAAATATTTAAAAACATAAGCAAAAACTAAAGACAAGTAATAAGCAAACAACAACAACAAAAAAGTTACATAATTAGTGGCATCCATTTTGTGGACATTAAAGTTCTGTTTCAAATAATAGAAACATTCCAAATAGGTCAAGTAAATGCTTTCCTTTGTTAAGTATTAAAAATAAATTGCTTTTTAAAAAAGATTTATTTATATATGCATACAAGAGCTGGGGTGTTGGCCAGAGGTGTGGGGGAGGGGTGGTAGTGAGAGAATTCACCAGAGGCAGTGGGGAGCAGAACTGGCAGACTGATTGTAATACACTGTTGAGGGGAGCAGCAGATAAGACAAGAGAGGTCTGCTGCACCATGTGGGTCACCTCCCTGGGCAGGGATTGAACTCTTGCTGAAGTAGTTGCAGCTTACTTCATTCACAGTGCTGACACTTGACCCCTTGCACCACCAGGTGCAAATAAATTGCTTTATATTCCTTTTAAAAACAAACTGCTTTATATTCCTTTTAAAGACAAGGACTTGTACAAATAAATCTGAACAGTTCACTGGAAAATTAAAGGCATAAAGAGAAATTTTTAAATTAAAATTTTCTAGAGAATAACTTAACACTGGTGTCTTTATTTTTTCTCAGTAAAGGAAAATGAGAAACTAACAAACCATTGTGATATTAAAAAAAGTCAATGCCTTGACATATTGAATAAAATTTTAAGATGCATTTTGGGAGTCTAAATTGCCAATAAAATTTTGTTTTAAGTTGCTTAATATTTGACTGATAGAGGTAAATGAAAAATATCATTATATCATTAAATTTTATCTATCCTTTGCTGTTAATGTCTTTTAGCCAAAATATATAAACACTATGCTATGAAGATAACATACCTTTTTATCATATACATCTTGCCAGTTAACTCCAGAAAAGAAACTGTGTCTCATAATTTCTTTTGCATCATCTGGTCCTCCACCAAGGCTAAAAGTTCAGAAATAAAATTAAATGAGTATAAAACATTTGCATGAGTCCAACACCGAACAACAAAGCTGTTGTGAAATACAATTTTCTGTGTGATAAGTAGACCGTATGATAAAAGCTATAAAAATAAAATGGCTTTTGTTGTAAGATCTAGTATCCTTAATCTACTCTGTATAGCATGTTTTTTGAAACAAGCTTAGAGTCTGGAGACAAACTTGAAAAGGTCAGTCAGTTATGAAATTTATGAAATACGTAACAATGAAAACTTGCTTAATCTCAATTTGTTCATCAATAGAGTTCAGATAATATTATCAGTCTGGGGGGGGTTACTGCAAGGTTTAGAAATAAATAGGCAAGTACCCCGTACAATGAATAGTAATTATTATATTGTCAATTCTATAAACCAAACTTAGAATGACTTAAGTCAAAGTATATCCTTGTTAAAAAAAAATCTGAAATAACTAGTTAGAAAAAATAATTTGCAGAACATTGCTAATAAAAACTCATGAACTCTTTACAAATCTGAAATAAATTTCTGAGGAAATGATATTGTTAATCTGTAAGTTATCATCAAAATATAATTTGCTACACAAGTTGAAATATCTATTAAAACTTTTTTAATACACCTCATCTAATGCTTTAACTGGTAGATGTAGTATGACTTACATTTGTAGAAGTAAACACCTATACCCTAAAACATGTACAATGTTGTAAATCATTATTACCACAATAAATGTAATTTTAGAAAGTAAGTAAAATACTCTGCCATCTTTGAAGGTACTCTTATTTAACTGATAGGTGACACAAAATGAAATTCAAGTTTTTTGTGACTTCCTCAGTTTCAGAAAGTCCATACCAGTAACCACAAAGAAAGAATGAGAAGAGGAAAAAAGGGAGATGTAGGAGGGAAGAAAGAAGGGGAAACAAAAAAGAACAGAGAAAGAATGATGATGAGAAAGTAAAGAAAGTATTTAAATCTGAATTTGATATAATAAGCTCTATTTGGACTTGTTCATGATTAGGAATGATATATGTTTGCAAATCCTTAACCAGCAATCTGGAAGAAATTATACATATATATTCATGATAAATACATTATGTCTTTATAATGAATAAATATAAAATTTTATCATGAATTTTATTGATATAGAGGCTATAAAGCACAAAATTGACAAATAATAAAATATACAACGTTCTTTATTGTAAATTAACCAATTGATTTTTCACAGAAAACTTCTGTTAATTTTTGATGAACTCCAAACCTACAGACTGACTTATGAGTACTTCTAAAATGACTACTGAATGATTATTTAGTCCATGGGAAAGACAGAGATGAAGGTGACATCACAGAGACATGCATCAGAACTTCACTTGTCAGTTATATGAATAAATTTTTTGCTGAATAGTTAATTGTACTTGAACAGTAGAAGAATATTTCTTTAGTTTTTTTGGTGCTGCTCACAATGGAATGGACACAGACACAACAAATGTTAAAATTTAATCTGTGGGGCTTCCCCGGTGGCGCAGCGGTTGAGCGCTGGGTTGCGAAGCTGCCCGCGGCCTCTGCCGCGCCGGTTCGATCCCCGGCTGCTCCCCGGCCACCGGAGGAGGGGCCCACATGGCGCGCAGACCTCTCCTGCCGCCCGCTGCTCCCCTCAGCAGTGTACTTCGGTCCTTCTGCCTGCTCTGCTCCCCGCTCTGGCTCTGGTGAATTCTCTCACCCTCCCGCGCTTCTGACTGTACCCAGTGCTTGTATAAACAAAACAAACAAACAAACAAATAAATAAAAATGCCTCTAAAAAAAAAATTTAATCTGTGATATTAACATTTTCTATGTTACTTTCTTAATTAAGTCTGAGCAACAAGACAATAAACTAAGTCTGACTTACAATGTTTGCTAATGTTGGTGTTGTAAGTAACCCCACAATAACCAATTCAGATTATCAAAATGATGCTGATCAATACAGAAATAGGAAGAGGTGTGCTGTAGCAAATCATTCTACAACGTATTTCTATATTGATACAATGGATACATGTAACCTCAAAAGCATAGATAATGGCAAAATGTTATAAAGTTAAGGAGAAATGAGTTTTGAGTGATTATTACCTTTGATTTTAGTATCATTGATTAAATCTGTAAATTTAATTAATTAGATTATTAATTATGCCTGTAATTAAATAACCAGCTCACAAATTCTTGAAATTTAACAGTTAGCTCCCATAAGCTAGTACATGCCAACTCCAACACCTCTCTGGGTAAGAAGAAAAATATGTCACAGAAAACAAATTTACAATTTTAGTAGATTCTGACTATTATTAGGTATAAAGAATAAAATACGTGAGGAATCCAGAGTCCTCTGAATATTTCCAGAATGGAAATTTCAAAATGTACAAATATTAGCTGATATTTACATATCTCTAGGGATTATCCACACTTCCTCCCATCTAGTATTCCTATCCCCAGATCCACACAGAATGAACCACCTCTGAGATTCAGTCAGTTCACTGTAACAATATTCACCCACTAGCAATTATGTACTTATTCTCAGCATTCTTCTTCCTAACCTTAAGTTTATTTTACTCTATTTCAAATTGTGTTTCTCTCTCCCCCAGTGGACTACACATTCTTTTGAGGGCAGATTACTACTAGAATTTCCAAAATGCATTTTAAGGTTGTAAGGGAACCAAAAGCAGAAACACCAAAACATGTTTTTGAAGAACTTAACATTTCAACATATGCATCAAAATAGTCTGCCTGACAAAAATTAGAAGCTCGTTGTATTTTATTAATTACACTTATGCCACTTATTTCAATATTATTTTCATGTTAATTATATGTGAGACAGTGGGTGAGGTGGGAGTTGGAGTGGAGAGCCATAATCATTTTGTAAATAAAAGGTTTATAAATCAACCTCGGTTATTCATTTTTGTCACCGCTCAGTTCTCTAGCAATAGTTTGGCTTTGGATATAGCTAGCATTTAATCTATATTTATCAAATGCATACAAAATTAAAGTATCGCCATGGATACTATGCAAAGTCTAAGAATAATCTTAGACTGCCATTTTAGAAGCTGAGAGAGATTCTTTAACACAAGCTTCTTCACAGTGTGAAACAGTAAAAAATGTCAATAACAATTACTTCCTAATATATGACATAAAGTAATATCAAACTATGATCTGTACTAAGGTATTTATGTCCAGGAATCCTAAATTCCAACTGGAGAATGCCAAATAAAGTTTCAGCTACTAGATTCTTTATTATTATGAACATTATGAAATCCACATTTTCCTAGTGTTCCTGAATGCAACATGAGGTCATGCTTTTCCTGTAATTATATATAGGACCATCCATTAAGCAGATACTAGAAAATGATTGCAAAATAACCGAGAATAGAAAATAGAAGCAAAAATATATTTAATCTTTTGACAGAAGTGACAGCAAATTCAGTAGAGTACCAGAAAAATTTAGAGCAGTATTTAAAAAAGTTGAATAGGGATAACGAAGAGGAATATTATAAGCTACCTTTGATTATGCTACCTAAGACTTTTCAGGACTTTTTTGTTGGATCTTTCTCTTCTTAGAATCTGATGTTTCCTGGGATTTTGTCCTAGCCTTTCCTCTCTTTATATACTTATCGCTCTACCATTCTCAGGGCTCAAGCTATCTCCTAGATGCCTTTGCATCCCAAATCTATATATTCAGTTATTGTTGTTCTACTAAACACTATGTTCAACTGCTTGCTTGACATTGTCATCTCAGTTTTCGATAGATATCTTAAACTTGATACAGTCACAGTAAATATCAACCTCCACTCCATAAACCCTCCTTCTTTGCCTTTACTCCCATCTTAATTATAATCCGTACTCCAAACTAGTCACTCATTTGGAAAGCTCAGAGGTATTCCAGGCTCCTTATACTTCCTCATCATTCTTATTTAATCATTCATAAACTTCTCTTTCCTGCTCTTTTACCATTTAAGAAGGACCCCCATCTCCTATCTGGAAAATTCTACACACGTTCTTTATTGTTCTGCCTAACCTGTCCCAGTCCCATGCTGTACTAATCTATCCATGCCATTATAGTTACCTTTTCATAATACATATTTGATTATACTTTTATAATACATGTATGAATATACATGATTATACTTTCGTAATACATATATGATTATTATACATTCCTTACTTTTAATAATTCAGTGATTTCTCATCCTCTTCTAAATAAGTTTAAACATTTTCTAAGAAATATAAGGTCCTTATAATCTAAACCTAATATAAGGTCCTTATAATCAATCTAGCAATTGACAAACTTTAATTGAAGTAACATTTGTTTATAACATTATAGGTTTCAGGTGCATATCATGATAAATCAACATTTATATCTACTGTATTATATTCGCCACTAAAAGTCTAATTCCATCTGACCCCTTTTTCCTGTTTTACCCACCAGTCCTCCTGTTTCTTTCTTCTAACCACTAATTAATCTTATAGTCTAAAAGTATATTTTTTTTTGTTTTCAGTTTGCTCTTCTTCTTCATGTACTACATGAGTGAAATCATACAGTGCTTGTCTTTCTCTGTATGAATGCTACCGTAAATTCTAGCTCTCCAAAAATCAGCTCAAATCTTATAATTCCTTAACAGAGCTAATAATTATAATAGAAATTTGTATGAGGTTTAGCCTAAGCATTTGGGAATATATTTTTTATACCCCACATTAGTCTATGAACATCAAGAGACTATTTTTCTTGTTCATTCTTTCCCCAGTATTTTCACATAGTGGTGTGTGTGTGCATGCACACGTGTGTGTATATGGAAGGGGTGTAGCTGACACACTAAAGATAATTGAAAATAATACATTTTCTTTTTAGATAAAACTAACCTCTAGGTGGAAAAGCCTTTCAAAATTTACCCAGATAACAGGCACTAATATTCTAGAAATATACTTCACATTTATTCAACAATTACTATGTACCTACGATGTGTTATTCACTGGGGGGGGAGGTAAAGGTTTTCTGGGATGTAGTAGGCAGGATGACAATTAAAAAATGAAATGTAGACATGAAAACTACAATTACATTTGTAGCAGGAGACACACACACACACACACACACACACATGCATGGTCATCAAAGTTATCTGGAGAAGTCAGGCAAGGATAGGATAAAAATTCAATGCCCTTGAAACCCAAGACAAATAACAGATCCCAGAATCAACTACAGCAGATAAAATGGAAATCTTAGCTTGTTTAAAAATTACCTATTGCCAGTATAGCTTATAACATTAACTGTGTAACAATTACATTAAATGAAACACATTTCCAATTTGAATCAATTGAAAAATTGATGTACTAAAAAATCAGAGAAATATCAAATAGACAAGAAATGTGATTTTTACTTTTATTCTATATAAATTTTTTGTGAGGCAGAAGATAAATCACTTAACCTTTCTGGGCCTCTGCCCTCTCAATCAGATGGAAATGAGAATAATATATACACTATCTAAGCTATAAGATAGGGGAAAAAAAACAGGGCGATCATCGCTATTCAAATGCCTAAAAAAGAAAAAATCTGTTTACAAATATAAGTTACAAGGATAATGAAAGTAATTTTGAAGAGTTCTTCACCAAGTAAAAAGATATCTCTTTATGTTTGCATATTTCTGCTGAAGGTAAAATCATGTTCCTAATAAAGTTAAAAGCTAGAAATATGTAATGGAAACCATCTTTAATGTAGGCTAACTTCACAGTTTAGAATGAATTTATTTTTTCATTCATTAATTCAGTCTCTCAACAAATACATATTGAGTATTAATAATAAACAGAAATATTATAAAATAAACGTGAATTATTATGAAAGGTTCAATAAATGTAAAATGGCCTATCAAGATACAGATCCAAGAGATGTTCAGAGAAATAATAATATGCATGCTATGCATGGAAGGAGAGATATATACATATACACTTGAATACATATTAAGAGACATTTTAAAATTAGTGACAGTTTCATATATGATTTCTAAAGTGTATCTGTAAACAAATATATAAACTTGAACAAAGAAAACTGTACTTCATTAAACAAAACAGCAGCGGTATAGGATTCTTCAAGTCATAGCTGTAGATACAGAAGTAGAAATACAGACTATGTAAACATCTTTCTTTTGCTATTGATCCTTTTAGGATTTTGCCATTAATCCTTCATGCACAGAAAAGATGATCTTCAAATGACACAAAAAGTAGTTAGACATGTTAGCATAGGTTAGAGTGGGAGAAGAGTACAGAAAAAGCTTTATTCATTTTATAATGCCTATCAGCAGAAATATAAACACCTGTATGCTGAAAGGAAAAGAAAGGGATCCTCCTATTCCCACAATAGTAAGTACCAGCTAATAAAACCCTCTTTTTTTTTTTTTTGGATAATATCTGAATAAAATGTCCGTGTTAGAAAAGAATGGAAGGAAGTTTTTAAATGTTCTATATTATGCAGTTAAAAATAAGTCAATATCACAGAGGGGACGATGTCTACACCAAATACATTGCTTCTTGGAGTTAATCATATTTGAATTAATTTTTGTATCACAATTTCTAGCCATATTCATCATAACTCACTGAGTACTATTTGTGGCTTACCGTTTATTTGGATCTTTTATCAAGAGCCCTGAAAGCAATGATTTTGCATCTGAAGAGAGTGTTCGAGGAAATTTAATGTCTTCCATTAGTATAAGTTCAAAAAGTTTCTCATGATCCTGATTGTAGAAAGGTAACCTCCCACACATCATTTCATACATGACAACCCCTAGGCCCCACCAATCCACGGCTCGACCATAGTCATTATCTTCTAACACCTAAAAGTAAGACCAGGAAAAAGATTAATTACTACACATTAACTTAAAGCTTTACTTAACAAATCAAAAGATTTTTTCATACAAATGAATGCTAAGATTCAACCTTTAGGTATGATATTCTGAAATCTTGACATTAAAACTATAAAGCATCCTATAAAAGATATTAATCACACCAAATATGTGAAATATTATACATATGTGTATTTAGTATTTCCTTAGTATGTATTTATGTAGTATGTTGCAGGTGTGTATAAAAATAAATGGTCAGTGCACAGAAAAGTCAGGGGTCATACAACAAATTCCAAGTAGATGCGTATTATGAGTACATTAAGAATCAAATGAAAACCATTAGCTTATTTATAGCTTTTCTCTTAGGCTTACTTAATTTCTCATTCTGGTTCTAATCACGTGGATTTTAATAATTTAGAGCTAAGCCATGATGATTATAGAGCATGTAAGTGTCTTACACATTCTTACACTAAAAACTACAAAGTAATGCAAATTAAACAGTGAAAGATAGAGTGGGCAAGTGAACAAGAGAGGAGTATAGAATATTAAAATTAATTTGAAAAATTTTGGAAGCCCCTATATGTTTAAACTATTTCAGGACATATGTAGCAAGTCAAGTGAATACAAACAATTTTTGCTTGAGTTGTAATAAACGTTAGTATCCAAGGATCTTAACAAAAAATTCTGTTAAATACAAAAAACAAAAGTCATGGACTCAATATCTGTGTAGGATATGCCTATGTGGTATAAATTTGTTTCCTAAATACATTACATGCAAAATAAACTTGGTAAGAAAAGATATGTAAGCACCAGTTAGGCCATGTTAGAGCAACCTGTTTAAATTGGAACATAACTTGCCATTTGCCCCCCAAAATTTGCCTTTTCCTTTTTATAGGATTTAACCTTTTTGCTAGAATTTTTTTCATCACTTTGGGACTTTCAATATTTGATCTTAACTTATTATATATGAATAATCTTAAAGTTTACTTTATCTGATCCTTTTAGCTATGGGAAAAACAAACAAAGAAACAAATACCCATGAAGGTTATCAAGAAAAAAGTTCATATAACTGATTATATGAGACAATGTGATTTAAAAAAAAAAAGTGGTACTCATGTTCCAAACTTTCTTAGTGTGAATTAAATATTTTTTGAAGATTACTCATATTTGACTTTAATTTAAAGCTTACCAATTACATCATAGAATTACACATGATATTTTTCTCAACTATATTATGACTACTATGAAAACTGGAAAGTACTTTGATAGGGTATTAAAGATGGAGATATAATTTCAAGAAAAACCTATGTTACTTAGTAAGATACACAGCAGTGTTTCTAAAATGCTATAAAAAGGGTTTTAACTCAATTGTATCACTGTTTTGTGGTTAAAGAAACTACAAACTGCATTGCCAAGATATTTATACAAGTTCAGTTCCTATGTTTTTCTAAAATCTTTTGTAAATCAAAAACTAAGCAAAAGTATTTTCAGTAAAAACAAATTCTTATTTTCATCTTTAGGCAAATATATTTCAAATTATCACTTGATTGAAATGATTAATATGAAAACATACAGAAAATAACCTAAAGAAGCAGAAGTTCTACTTGTTACATAAGTAAAGGGAAATACCATATATATAATATTTTAAATACCAGTGACTTTTGATTATTCAAGAAATCTGTATCATGGCCAATTAGTAGACTATTCTTTGTGGGCCTTTATCTAATAATTCCATTAGGATTAGGATTTTACCTAATAACAAAATATTTAAAAATTGAAGTAACCTTTTACATCATTCCTACAACACCAACAAAACAGAGGCACACATGAATAAGAGCCAAATGTGGTTTTTAACCTCTTTTTTTGTGAAACCATAAAAAGCATAAAAGCTGGATTAACTGCCTCCTGAACCCACATTTCACCAGCCGGGTTCTCATCCCCAGCTGGCAAAACTGGCAATCCTTTATTTTTGTTTAAATACCTGGTTTGCAGCCAGAAGGGAAAGGGAGTACATAAAAAAGGTTTTTATTTTTGAAGAGAAATAAGCAACTGAAAAATACTGCATTGTAAAAAAAAAGTCTGTTTAATCAAGTAATATGTATTTTATTTTGTTTTGTAAAACCAATACTGATTCTCAAATAAGTGTTTCTGCTGCTGAACATGTGCTTTAATCAATGTATACAGATATATACAGAGATACATAATGCTACCACAAATGTTAGCTGTATCACATTGTACTGAACAAAACTGATGTTATCTTACTGACACATAAACTCAATCCATGTTAAGACAACTTCTTTATCTAAGAGTGTTTACTAGCAATTAAAAACAAAGATTTCTTTTCAACCCCTACTTTTAAGAAGAAATACATATTAAATAAAAACAGAATATTTTTGGTATACTGAACATACAATATGAACTACAAATATGAATTACTTCAAAAAACAGTACTTTGAAATATTCTAGAAATTCCAGATAGAGTTAAAATCCATAGCTTCTTTTATATTATCTTTGGAGATAACTTCCCCCCCTTACTCAAAGCAATTCTTTTCCTAAAATTACAGTAACATGTAAAATTTACATTGTTTAACTAGTTGCAATTCTCTATCTCTGAGGACTTTTTTTCTAGCAAGAAGGCTAATTTACGTCATGGTTATCATGAGGATTGAGCCACGAGATATGTTAAATGGTAACATAGAGGTACAACAATGTTTAAGTACATTTCAACTCCATTATAATGCAACTTATTATGTAACTTGGATACAATTGCACATTAATATCTGCTTCTAAAAAATACTCCAGTAAAGTTTATTTTGAAGGAATTAATTTATCTAAGGAAATCGTCTCTTTTTCCATGAAATCAACATTTACTGACATTTAAACTAAACTCAAGGTTTAAATAGCAATGTAGACATTTGGTATTTCTGTTTCTACATTTTGTAATTTTCAAAAAATATTAATTTCAAATTAATTTTCAAATTATGATAGAGATTTTCTAATCTGTAATCCCAATATCATTTGTTATTATCCTTCTAAACATATTGTTCTTTGTAGCTTTACTTGTAACTACACTTCACACAAATGCTCAAACGGAGATAAAGGCAAGAGAGAACTGGGAACATTAAAATGCAAATGCTAAAAAATAACGGGTCATGTCAAACCAACACCTAATACAGAGCTCTAGGAAATAAGATTTAGTTTCAGTTTTTCCACAAGTAGCCAGACATGTCTTTACTTTTTGATGTAATGAAGACTGGGACTCAGGGAGGCACAGCAGAAAACAATTACAAAGAAATATTCTGGTAATGTTGGTTTAATATTTGGTCATATTTAGTGTATAGTCATTTCCATTTATAAAACAAGTGAATTAAAAAAATCACTACCAATACGTTTTCAGTAGTTACTAATATTAAAGAAAATATTAATAATTAAAAAATAATATTTTAAAATTATACCACCAACTGAAGCTTCTAATGTAAATATTTATGTGGCTAATGAATACTTTCAGAAAACATATTCATTCCAATATTCTTCTAGCAATTAGGATTTACCGGGGGATTGAGGGGACACCTCTCTCAGCTTGTTCGCCAGGCCACAAAATGCACCCAAGGCAAGCAATTATTAGGAGGGTATGTATGCCCTGGAGTGGCTTACTGCTCAATCAATAATCCTGACAGAACAGATGGGGGAAAAAATTAAACATCTAAACAAACTGTCTGTACACCTATGTTGTGAAAGTAAACTGCGAACTTGGATGAACCAATGTACTGCTAATTCAATTTTTTTTTTTTTCCTGGTAACCTTATATCCCAGGTAACTGCTATGTGAGTATTTTATATACAAGCACACATGTGTATACCTCATCATTTTTGGAAATTCTTTACGTTTTCTTAGCACCACAAGTATTTGATAAAATAAGTCCTATAAATCTTCTAATTCAGTTTAAGAAGTACACATTTAATTCACAAGAATTACAAATCTCGTAGTTTCTTGGTATTTTCTCCATAAATACATATTTTACAGCCAGGTCTCAATTACTCTAATAATTCTTATGAGACAGAAACTGTAAATGCCATTTTCTGTCAATTTATGGCTATTTCCTGGCATGTACATTCCAACACTTGCATACAGCTAACATCGTACTTGTAAAAAGCAATCTGGCTAGAACAGACAAAATTACTGAGTATGAAAAAAGCTCTATGTACACAACACCAATGATTAAATTATACTTGCTTATATCTTCCCAGAGACTTCTATATATATTTTTTTATCCTGAAGCAACAATCATTATAGAATTCCAAGAAAATGGGTCTTTAAATCCAAGTAAATATAACCATTGTAAAACACTAGAGGTAATAGTAAGTATATATTCCCTTGATTACTGTATATATTCTTATGTTTCAGAGAATTTAAAATTAAACTTTGGGTTTAAACTATAATTATTCTAAGTAATTAATGGAAATATCCTCTCTGATAAAGCCAAAAGACCAAGAAGTTCCAGTAAAAAATAGCTACTATATGAACTGACAGACCTCTAGCAAAGTAAAAGTCACTACTTAACAAACACTGAGACATTATCATTTAACTAAAAAAATATCATTTTCGTTCCTTCTTAAATAATACCAGTCTGGGGACAAAATGAAATAGTTTTTAATATTATCCAGAATCAGTATAAATAGTAAGCCAACATGTATGACAATAAGACGTTCTTAAAAATGAATTCTAACTATGATCTGCTTTACAGAACATTTTTCTCTGAAGTAATCACTGTGTTCATTTTCTTATTTCCTTCTTAATATTGGTGGCAAGACATCTTCAGAACCACCAGGAAGATGAAGGTATTAAAAAATACCTTCAGAGGACAGGCACTTCAAGATACATTAATAACTAAATATTAAGGATATACACCGTTTTAGAAAGGCTACTACAGCAACTTTTCATTTTAACAAAAAGCTTAGAAGTTTTAAGACTTACTTTCAGAATTCGTTTAA